GTGTGCGACGCCTCTTGGAGTGGAGCCGCTGTCGCAGCTCCTCAAACTCGCGTCGTCGCCTCTGTAGCCTTCCCGCCGTGGCTCCGAACGCCTGCTTGACAGCGGTCTTGAGCTCCTTGGCGAAGGCCGCCTTGTGGGTCTCCCATTGCTGCTTCTCCGTATCGTCAAGGTCCAGGCCCCCTGTCGAAAAAGCTTCGCCCTCCTCGAAGTTGAGGTCTTCGAGGTTCTACGACAGGGGACTGGTGATATTGATGGCTGGTGAAGGGCCTTCCTTACGCGGGGCCGTGCCCCGCTCACGGTTGATATGCTCGAGCGTGTCGCTGACATCCTTCTTGGCCTTGGCCAGTGCGTCGGCGGCCTCTGCAGTGCGCTCTCGGCGCTCCGTGAGCCACACCTCCGCCTTGTGCTCCGGGAGCGCTGCCTTGTCCAGCGCTTGGTTGGCCCTGCGCTCCGCCCCCATGAGCCTCTGGTACTTGGCGTGCAGGGTCTCGACAGGCTCCTTGGGCTGCGGCAGTACAACCTTCTTGAAAGTGTCGAGGGCCGCCTGACTGTCGGGGTCCACACGAGATTCGATTTCACGCAGTAGCGAGTCGAGGGAGGCCTTGGTGTCGTCGGGGGTGCTGAGTGGCCTCGCCCCTTCTTCTTGCCGTTGCCTAGCCGTGCGTGCGAGACCTCCAGCCTCTGACGGACCAAGCCCCGCTGGCCTCACGCCAGGGGTACGTAGGGATCTCGAGCGGGGCGTTCCACGAGAAACATGTGTCTTTGCCGCGCCACGCCCACTTGTACGCACACTGCGTGCACTTGACATAGCCAGTCGCGGTCTTGCCCATGAGTGAGCAAGGTACAAAACTCGAAGCTGTGTCGCCAGGCGGCTCACACAGCGATGCGATGAGAGCTCTGAGGTCGAGCCGCGGACTAGCGGTATCCACTCGTTTCACTGGGAAAGACAAAACCTTGAGCCAAAATGGCTACGGATAAGTTAAATTCCGATTTCCTATCGAAAACAAAAGGAACACCTGAGGCAAGCTGGGAAACACTTAAGGAACGCGGAGCCCCTCCCCAACGAAAAAGGTTCCTTCTCCAGCGCCCCGACTGTACGGGCTTCATGTGTTTTTTCGATGTTCCCCGACCCCCCCCCCAGTGGAAATGGAAGGCAAATCGGGGCCTTCGGGTTGGGTTGGGGTGGTTTGGTGGGCTGTGGTTGATGGGGGAGGGGGTGACGGGTTTTCGCGCCCGGGTTTCTCACGCATGCAAAGGAAATAGCTGTAATATCCGCTATCCGCCACCGTGCCTTCAGCACGTAGTAGGAAGTGCTCCAAGGCTCATGCGGCCCTGCAGCCCTGAGAGGTAGAGGGATTGTAAAGTTCTGAAGGCGCGGACCGTCATGTTCCTGGCCGCTCCCGTGAGCTTTTGGGGGTTCCTGGGACTCCTGGGGGCTTCCGAAAGTTTCTCGGCTGGCCTACGACGACCTCCCGAGGGCCCCAAGAGGCCCCCAAGACGGTCCACGAACCGAACAATGGGTCGAACATGGCCAAGATGGCTCCCAGACGGCCCAAGATGCCCCCGAGACGCCCCAAGAGGCCTCGAAAAGGCCTCCCAAGAGTGCCCCAAGAGGGAAAAATCATTGATTTTCCATTTTTGTTTGACGGATTGGCTTTCTTGCAATTTCGGATTCCTGGAGCTCCAAGACAGCCGAGGAGGCCCCCAAGATCGCTCCGAGAGGCCTCCAAGAGGGCTCCAAAACTCTGCCAGAGGAGGCCCGAAGACGGCCCAAGAGACCTCCAAGATGGCCCAAGAGGCACCCAAGACGGCTCCAATGGGGGGGGCCAGACGGGGGACCCGAACGAACATTTCGAATGCTTGACCCCGCCTGTGGAGGCCCTGAGGCCTCAAAGAAGCCCCAAGAGGCTCCCAAGAGGTCCCCAGGAGGGCCCGAGAGGCCCCAAAGAGGCTCACAAGAGGCCCTCAGGAGGCCCCCAAGAGGCTCCAAAACTGCACCCGAAGAGGCGCCAAAACTGTCCCCATGAGGCCCCCGAGAACGATCCAAAGAGACCCCAAAAAGCATCCCTGAGGACTCTGACCCACAACCCAGGCGCTGTGGCGGGATGGGCCGAAGGCCATTCGACTACGTACGCCAGAACAACATGTAATGATTCTTGCGACCTCAAACTACTACCAGCATGGTAAGACAGAGATCGGCTGGCGGAGCTCCAGAAAATCATATCTTGGCGAAGGACCGAACCATATGTAATTGTGAAGAACGCGTTGTGGGTACCGCTAACGGTGGGCCACGCAAGACGTGACGGGGCGTGCCATAATGGGTGGGGGGGCGCATGCGGGCGGTCTCACCAGGGCCTTCGAAAGAGCTCCCTCTGGGGCCACGACGCGCTGTAGTGGGTTGTGAAGACGCATGCGGGCGGTCCACTTGGAGCCTCCGGTGGAGCCCCCATATGGGGCCACGAAACGCTGTACTGGGAGGGGGGACGCATGCGGGCGGTCCCACTGGAACCTTCGCTGGAGCTCCCCATGGGGCCACGAAGCGCTGTACTGGGTGGGGGGGACGCAGCGGTGCCACTGGGGCCTTCGGTGGAGCTCCCTATGGTTCCGCGAAACGCTGTACCGGGTGGGGGGGACGCATGCGGGCGGTCCGACTGACCTTCGCTGGAGCTCCCTATGGGGAGGAGGAAGAGGAGGACGAGGAGGAGGAGGAGCAGGAGGAGCAGGGGGAGGAGGAGAGGGGATGAGAGGAGGAGGAGGAGGAGGAGGAGGAGGAGGAGGAGGAGGAGGAGGAGGAGGAGGAGGAGGAGGAACGCGGGGACCGTCTCTTCAAAACGAGGACCCATAAGGATGGTTGGGAATAAAGATGAGCTCGCCCTGTTGCACAGACAAGCCTCATTTTCCGACGCCAAGGTTTCTGTTCAATGCGTGGACCTCCAGATCTCGCGGTCCTGATGCGCAACTCGCCGAATAGTCGAAGTGTTCGTTTATATGTTCCAGCCGTTAGTTGTCTTATCCGTGGGCCCTAGGGCGCGAAACGGTTTCCAAAGGCCCAGTTTCTGAAGAGCCTCTGGATGTCTGCTCCTGGGGACGTCCTTGACCCCCGGACTGGACTGATCCATACCATACCTTCACGCAGGCGGCGTCGCACCCGATCGGGTCCCTGGAGGTCTCTGGAAGCCAAAGTGCACCCCTCTCTGCCCAAGGTGGACACGGAGGGGAAAGAGGGACTAGCACAGCGATGCCCAGCCCCAAAACTCCGACGCTCTGACTTCTCAATGCGCTGGCCCAGGACCTCTTCGAGACCCCTTCCAGAGGACCCGGATCGCTCCCTGACAAACTCGCAGGAGCCCGGAGACCTGTTGTCTCCGTCCACGGAGGCTTCCAAGATGACCCCAAATGGACAACTCGAAGTGACATTGCGAGAAGACTTCCAAACTAATGGGCTTCAAGAGGCAGAACATATGACACCACTAGACCCCCAACGGCATCCAAAAGACATCTTTTCCAAGATCCGGAGGCGGTGGCGGGAAGGACCGAAGGCCACAAGACACTGGCGAAACATAGAAAGCGCGCCAGTGGATGGCACTGAATACACTAAAGGGGGGGGGGTGCTCGCAGAACTCCCCCCCCCCTCCCCCGCTTGGCGCTGGAAAAGGGGGGGGGTCGAGAGAAAGGTTCAGATCCCAACCGGACGCGTGAGATCCCAACCGGACTGTTCAGATCCCAACCGTCAAAGACACGTGGGACGCGTGAGATCCCAACCACTTTGGAGAAGAGGCTGATCTGGAACCGGAGCCGGTCGCGCCGGTCGCGCCGGTCGCGCCGGTTGCGCCGGTCGCGCCGGTCGCGCCGGTCGCGCCGGTCGCGCCGGTCGCGCCGGTTGCGCCGGCTGCGCCGGTCGCGCCGGTTGCGCCGGTCGCGCCGGTCGCGCCGGTCGCGCCGGTCGCGCCGGTCGCGCCGGCTGCGCCAGCTGCGCCGGTCGCGCCGGTTGCGCCGGTTGCGCCGGTCGCGCCGGTCGCGCCGGTCGCGCTGGTTGCGCCGGCTGCGCCGGCTGCGCCAGCGGCGCCGGCTGCGCCAGCGGCGCGTCGATTGTGATATCAACACAGACATCACAGTCGTCATGTCGCTCTCCCGTCGTGTCCCGTGGGTGGTGTCATGATCTCGTGGCGTGGCGTGGCGTGGTGTGGGGTACGGTGTGATGTGGCGTGATGTTGTGTGGCGTGGTGTGTGGTGTGGTGTGTGCGTGTGTGTGGTGTGGTGTGGTGTGTTGTGGTGTGTGTGTGTGTGTGCGTGTGTGTGTGCGGTGCGGTGTGGTGCGGTGCGGTGCGGTGCGGTGCGGCGTGGTGTAGTGTGTAAGTGAGGTCGGTTGCGACACCATCACAGAGATCGCACTTGCCATGTAGGTGCCCCATGGGAGGTGTCATGAGGACGTGATGTCGTGATGTCGTGCCTTTCTGCGGGGGGGATGCCCGGGCAGACTCCTGCCGGCCTTAGTCAAAATGAAGAACACGAGAGGCCGCGGGGGCAGGAATGGAGGAGGGGGAAAGGAGGGCCGAGAGCGAGGATACCACATCAGGAGCAACCTTTTTGACATCGGATCTCGAATGTGTGCGTCGCGAGCTACGCCTCGTAGTCGCCGACGCATCGCCGGGCCGGCCCGTCGGCTGCGCCGGCGCGCACCGCCGCGGGAGGAGCAAGAGGAAACGATGCGGTACTGCGTGCGGAAGTCGCATGCAGAAGGCGCTGGAAAAGTCCCCGGCCGCACCCCGCCCTGCAGCGGATGGCGCGCGGAAGCGTCGAGTAAACAGAAAAACTGCGTCAGCAGCCCGGGTGTGCGTGCAACCCCGGGTGCCTTTCTGCGAACGCAGCGGCGGGGAAAACGACATGCTTGAGCAGCTCGGGCGTGCGTGTAATCCCGAGTGCCTTTCTGCGGGAGCATGCCCGTGGAGACTTCTGCCGGCCCTCGTCAAAATTAAACGCGAGAGGCCGCGGGGGCAGGAATGGAGGAGGGGGAAAGGAGGGCCGAGAGCGAGGAAACCACATTAGGAGCAACCTTTTTGACATCGGATCTCGAATGTGTGCGTCGCGAGCTACGCCTCGTAGTCGCCGACGCCTCGTAGTCGCCGACTCGAAGATAGAACAAGAAGGAGAGAGGTAAATCAACGTACACCTCACAACAATGCCGTGACCCCCCAACATATCGTGGCCAACGATTGTGAAAACCGCTCTTACCAATCTCATCAGGGCGAGGCATGCAAGATATTTGAGGCACCAGACGGTATCGATACCGATGCTTCATGGCCCTCTCCTGGGGTGCCTTCTGACCAGACTCCCGAGGCGAATCCAGCGGTGGCGACGAGGGCCTCCCAGGAGGCCCAACGAGGCGCAAACGAGGCAAGGGTAGCGGTATGTGTGTCTGGAGAACCTGGGGCGGATCGGGAAAGGAGACGCTGCCATGAGCTCTCGGTGGCACGGAGGGCGTGGCCCTGCAGGTAGGGGTGACCTTTGGTGTGCAGCTTGGGGGGGGGGCTGCGGGGGAGGGAGGGGGCCAGATCCAAGCGCGTGGGCCAGTGCCTGAGGGAGCCCTGGTGGGCCCGCACCAAAGGTCAATTTGGCGAAGGGTCGCTCTCACGCGCAGCTGAATCTTGGTCCTGCAGGATCTGCCTCGTGGCAGCCCAACGCGCTGGGACAGCGCAGTAGAACATGATCGACCCACGAACCCGGAAAGGAATATAGAAATGTAAGGCATTGTAACATTTCAAAGACACCTGATTGGGCGACGGGCACATGCAATGCTAAATGTATCGATGATGATGTACTGTGCCGAGGGCTGTGCTGTGCTACGCCGTGCTGAACTGCGATGTGCCATGCCGCGATTGTTTTCTATATAGCGTTGTGGATCGAGTCCTCCCTGGCATCCGAGTCCTCACCGAACTGATCTGGAGCGTAAGCTCGAGCTGCTCAGGATGGTAGCTGCCCCAGAATTAATCGACAGAGGGAACATGCCAAGAGGACGCGCCGCGGAACGTCCCAAGGGACGCGCCAGGCGACGTGCCAGGGGACGTGCCATGGGGACGCACCGTGGGACGTGCCAAGGGGACGCGCTACGGAACGTGCCAATGGACGTGCCGAGGGACGTGCCATGGGACGCGCCGCGCGACGTGCCAGGTGGACTCGCCACGGAACGCGCCAAGGAACGTGCCAAAGTGTATAGTTGAGTGTATCGATATTGATGTACCGTGCCGACGGCTGTGCTGTGCTGGGCCGTGCTGAACTGCGATGCGTCATGCCGCGATTGTGCTCTCTCTCTCTCTCTCGTGCCAAAGTGTATAGTTGAGTGTATCGATATTGATGTACCGTGCCGACGGCTGTGCTGTGCTGGGCCGTGCTGAACTGCGATGCGTCATGCCGCGATTGTGCTCTCTCTCTCTCTCTCTCTATAGATATAGATATAGCGTTGTGGATCGAGTCCTCCCTGGCATCCGAGTCCTCACCGAACTGATCTGGATCGTAAGCTCGAGCTGCCTGAGCAGATGGTAGCTGCCCCAGAACTAATCGACAGAGGGAACATGCCAAGAGGACGCGCCGCGGAACGTCCCAAGGGACGCGCCAGGCGACGTGCCAGGGGACGTGCCATGGGCACGCACCGCGGGACGTGCCAAGGGGACGCGCTACGGAACGTGCCAATGGACGTGCACCGCGCGACGTGCCAGGGGGACTCGCCACGGGACGCTCCGCGGAACGTGCCAAGCAACATGCCAGGCTGCAATGCTAAAGGTATCGATATTGATGTACCGTGCCGAGGGCTGTGCTGTGCCTGGGCGACCTGGACACGTGAAAACACGCGTTTCGCTCAAGACGTTGTCAGCACATCCTCATGCTAGACATCCGCTTGGGCAACCTGGACACGTGCAAACAAAGCGTCTCGCTCGAGACATCCTCAACAAATGCTCATGTTAGACATCCGCCTGGGCGACCTGGACACGTGAAAACAAGCCTCTGGTTCGAGACATCCTCAACAAATCCTCATGCTAGACATCTGTCTGGGCCACCTGGAGGCGTGAAACCAAGCGTCTCGCTCGAGGCATCCTCAAGACCAGGGCACGAATCCACTTGAGAGATCCTCAGAATTCAGGCCCCCAGGAGAGGACAATCTATAACACAAAACAAGCGTTTCGCTCGAGACATCCTCAACAAATTCTGAAAAACAAGCGTTTCGCTCGAGACATCCTCAAATCCCACCAGCCCTTTGGGCGTGAGTGGTTCAGCGAGCTCTCTCTGTCCTCAACCCCCCTTCTTCCCCTTCGGGGAGGGGTTTACCCCTCCCCCTACCCCCTCCCCCTGGGCCTGGAGGGGGTGTTCCGCGGGTCGCCGGGGGGGTCTTTTTCGACTCCTCGGAGGGCTAAAAAACGACACCCCTCACGAGGATTCTGGCCCCGACGGGGGGACGGAGATAAGGTACCCTCCTCTTCCTTGAAGCCAAAAACATTGATTTTACTA